GGGTAAATTTTTCCCGCTATTACCGCAGGGGCCCCCCCCCCCCCGCCCCGGGCGCCCCCACACACACCACCAACCCACGCCCCCACGCCCACACACAAGCGTGACGGCCCCATCACCAGCGACGCGCAGCTGCAGTGGGATGCGCGGGAAACGAGCGCACTTCGCGCCGAGCGCGCGGGGCTCTCTCTCCCTCACGCCCTCGCTCCTCACCCTCCGAGCCGCGGTGCCCCCAGGCGCGCGCACGTCCGCTGCTGCGAGGCCACGCGCGGGCTGGGCCGCGCGTGCTTCCCCCTCATCTTCGTGGCGCAGTGCTGCTGCTGGTGCGGCATCACGACCACCCGGCAGGTCTGGCACGGGCTCGAGGAAAGCATCTGGGCGGCGCTGGCGGCGGGCATGCTCCCGGCCCTCCTCTTCGTCGGCAGCTGCTGCGGCGCCCTGATCTGTGTCACCTGTGGATGTTCTACGCCGCAGTGCCGCACCTTCTTCCGCGCGACTTTCCGGCCACGCCCCTGCCTCGGCACCTGCCACGTTTGGTCTTTGCTGTCGTGGCTGTTGTCGCTGGCATGGTGTACAGGCACACCAGCGCCTTCGGATCGCTGCCCTACGCGTGTGCCGCAGATGGCATCCACCGGCAGCCTGCGTGCGCGCGCCTTGCTGCACGGGGGTCGCTCTGGAGTGCGCACGCACTCTTTGCGGATGCACTCTCGATCTGCACGCAGCTTGTGATGCTCGTTTGCTTTGCAGGCTTGCTCCCGCGCCGTCGAGTGCCACTACTCACCAGCGCCGGCCAGGGGCCGCTGGCAGCCTTCTTCCTGCACATCTACCTCACGCCTTGGACGGACGTGCTCGGCCACCGTGTGCTGGGAGGGTTTGCAAAACTACTCGCGCCCATCCCGATCATGGGCCTCGCGAGCTGTCTGACGATCGTTGCCGCCCTCGGTCTATGCTTCTTGCTGGTTTGTGCCTTCGCTGCCATTGGCCGTGTGGTGCATCGCGTCCTGGACGCACACGCGGCGAAGATTCCTGCAGCAGTGTGTTTGCTACTGTTCGGAGTAGGACAGCGACGTGACGTGCTGGCGCCAACGTGCACTGGAGAGGCATGCGCCCACAACACGATGGTGTCGCCATCCATTTGCCCGGTATGCGTCGACGCGAGTGGCGTGCTAGACGTTCGTTGCTGCTCGGCCGGTCGCACCCGAGTGCTGTTCATTGGCAATTCACTCTTATCCCATTTGCCGGAGGCTTTCGAGCTTGTCGCAGCTAAGCTCCGCCTCCGCGTGGTCGTGTCCTCGGTCGCCTTGTACGGCTGCTGCCTCCGCCAAACGCTCTCTCAAAACCAGACAAGGCTTGCGCTCAGCGATTCGCAAGGTTGGGACTTTGTCGTTCTTCAAGAGTTCTCGGACCTACCCACCCTCCGCCACGCGCGTCAAACGTTCTGGCATCGGGCCCTGCGCGATGTGAGGGCAACCCTTAGGGCATCCTCTCACCGACGTGCCAAGTTGGTGCTCATGATGACGTGGGGGCGCGCCCGTGGATTTGAGCGGAGATGTCCAGCCCAGCCGAAGTGTGTGGCCAACCTGGGAGCACCGGCACCGGCACCAGCAGTGCTCGAGCTGCTCGACGACGAGAAGGCTCGAAGGTGTGCCCAGGCGGGGGACCTGCGGCCAAGGCTAGGATCGTTTGCGTGCATGACGTACTCTCTGAGCCGAGCCCACCTCGCCACGCTGCGAAGAGGCCTCGCCGATGCCGTCGCTCCGTGCGGGTTGGCGTGGTTGCGAGCGCGTCGCTCCGCTTGGTCGCTGTCAGACACACGCGCTTGTACCGGGATTATCGATCGCGAGTACTCCCGTCCATCTCCCATCAACCTCAGCGACTTCCCACAGACACCTGCAGTTGCCCCTCGGATTGGTCGGAAGGAGCTGTATGCACGTGGCGACGCGATTCACGCTTCTTCGACGGGGGTGCGTCTCAACACTGCCGTCATCATCCTGACTCTGTTTCCTGCTATCGCGCGAGATGATCTCACACAGGCGCTCACCCGCATTCGAGTGCAAGGCCAGCTCATCGGGACCTCGCCGGCGAGATGGCTGACTCAGGTTGCAAGTGACGCGCGCGAGAGCTGCGGCCACGCATGCAACGAGGCGCGCGCTTGAGATGGGTGAAGGGGCAATGAAGCTGTGCCCACCACCTGGTGACAAAATGCGTATTGGGTTGTGCTTGTGGCTTGTGCGTGCTGTGCGGCGCCCCGCGCGTCTCACGAGTCACGTCATAAGTCACGTCACACGGCGTGGACCGTCAGGGGTTGCGCTTCGTTGCGCTTGCGGTGGAGACTGGCATCTGGCAAGATGTTGACTGACTGAGCTGACGTGTCGGTTTTAAACCACCGCCGCCCGTAAACCGCAATACACAACGAGCGAGACCTCCGGTCCCGCGGCTGTCCCCAGGGACTCCACTCTGCATGCAGCCACGGGACAGCGGCCTAATTATACGCGCCGCCTTCTCTCTATATCTCGCGCGGCTGCTCTCTTCGCCACTCCGAGGGGCCATTCTATGCACCCGAACGACCCCCCAACCCTCAGCCCCGGCCCATACCGACGCGATGGCCCCGCGCCCACCCACAGACACAGCATGCGTACACACACACACACCTCGCCAGAGCGGGACGATCGCGCCTGATCGCGCCCCGACGCTCGCTACCGCGGCAAGCGCCGGCCCCGGCCCAGCGGCGACTGGCGGCGGCCGCGCTCACGCGGCCTGCGCGTTGCGCCGCGAGGAGCGAGTCCGCTTCGAGATTGGCGTCGGCTCGGGGAGCTTGCTCTTGGCGCCGGCCGGCTCCGGCTCCGGCGCGGCCTCCGGCACGGCCTCTGGCTCGCGCGTCGACGCGCGGT